TGAGAAGATACATTTTGCTTTTGAAACTCAGTGAAATCTAAACAAATATCCATGATAACTTTTGGGGCTGATTCACTGGCTGCCTTTTCCAGTGCAGTCCCAATGCACAAAGGCACAAAGAAGGCAATTTGCCTTGTTTACTGTGAGCCCAGTATATGCCACCGCGATGTGTCTGTAGAACTGAATAAAATGTAATTTGTGATATTTCAATAATAATTTTAAAAAAAGTTAATAGTGTCATGCATCAGCACTGCTTCTTTCACTTTTGCACTAGCGGCTGTGCTAGTATCACGGCTTGCTGGTGTGAATGGACCCTTATAGCTACAGGGGATATTATAGTAAAAGCTAGATAAAAAGAATATATAATATTTTGTAGAATCAGGCAAGTCATGCCTACAAATGATAGACAAGTTGACAATACTATGTACTCCATCATAATACTTACAGCTCCATCTTTTATAAATGGACAGCAGAGTTTGGTGATTTTATCCCTAGACATAGAGATTCTCTTTAGGAACAGTTCCCCACGCTTACTCATCATTTTTTTGCATGAAGCATAAGTCTGAAGGGGGGGAAAAAAATAAAATTAATTTTAATACAAAATTTATCTCGTCATCTGTATGACACTAGGATCGCTAAACAAACAGCTGAAAAAGGTTTACACCCGGCTCAGTCCATTTTATAAAAGGAATTTTGAAATTCCAGATCAAAAACAGTCAGCTGAATAGTGACTGCATCCTATCAGATGCAGCCACTGTTTGGGTATTCAGGCAGCTGGAGATGCAGTGGAGTTTCCTCCATGCACGCAGCTTAGTGTAGACGAGGATATTGAGTGATTTTTTCTCGTAGAGCCCGCAACCCCGTGTATAGATAGAATGACAATTAGTGCACATTAATGGGGCAGTAAACTTTAAAACCAATCAGTCAAATGTCAGGATAGTGTCCTTGCAAGCACTTACTGAATGCTCCAGCTCAGAAGAGCTCAGAGTGATGAACCTCAAGAAGAGTTCTCCTCCAGAAGAAACAGCCACAGATGAGTCTGCTTTAGAAAGGGTTTCAGTTGCATTTTTCAGACTCCCAATCAGGCCTTGAATAGTTTCACCTAAAAGTTCATTATTCAAGATTTTAAAGCGGAACTTTAACCATATCTTCAAAATAACAACAAACACTCCTTTAAAAATGTTTAATACTGGTAATCTACAATCACATACTTCTAGATAATTGCAGGCTTTGTACTCTTTGCTTTCCTTATTTTTCTTTTCCTCCCCATTCTTCCCACAGTGGCCATTTTTACTAAGGGCAGATGAATCTCCCTTTACTTCCTGGAACTCTGGCACATGTGACTAGGACATGGAATATTAACTTACTTCTAAATATGTTGTGCTAAGCCTGACTAACTTATTCAAAAGTAAGTTAAGATTCTGGTGATTTCACCGAGTGGTTGTTGCGGCTTGCCAAAATTACACATTCACATCCTAGCGGTTTCTATTGGTATATATTAAAAGGACATGGAATATGTATATCACCACATGGGAGGAAAATGCCTTTCCCCGAGAACTCATGAGATGTATTCTTCCCAGGGTGCAACACTTGGGCACAATTACATCACTTTTGCCAAAGTGGACCAGGAAGTAGAAAACAAGAAATTGTAAGTAAACTGAAAATATGTTTGTTTACCTAACGAATGTAAGATGATTTCATATCAGCCTGAAGAGCCAACGGGGGTAAAGGTCCACTTTAAATAGTGCAAACCATTTACGGTGATACAGAAACGGTTATTTTGATACATTACTGATACAGTGACAATTGCGGTTTAATCGTGTAATAATATCTGGTCATTTACTCCAAGCTGGCAAGTTTAAAGTGTAGTTCCAGTGTTGCTGTCAAATTTGAGAAAACCCCACTATATGTTTGTTATGTATTCCCATTCACACAGCACACTCAAGAAGATTTTAAATATTGTTTACCTTTTATGGAGGTTTCTTTGGCCAGATTACAAGCTACTCTAAGCACGTCTGTCCCCAAGACAAAAGGGGACAGACAGATCATTTCCTTTCAACATACAATGGATCTTTAACCCTTGGTTAGGAAAGCCAGTGTCCAAATCAAGTTTACAATTGATAGTGGGATCTGTCCCCACAATACAGACAGGGTTAATTATGGTAAACATTAAATCCCCACCCAGCTCAAGGCCCTTGAAATTAAAGAAAGTGGGAAAACTTAAATTTTTCAATTTTCAGAACAAGAGCATGTAGCAAATATTAATTCTATGTGAATGTAAAACATATAAAATAGGTTTCATCCCAATTTGGCTGTAAAAGTGGGAATACACTTTACACCACCCAGTATGAAAACTTTCACATGTATCTAGACCAACCACAACCTTGGAGTCACAATATAATGTGCCTGAATTGTTGGTGCTTGTAATTGTGGTATGTAACATATGCCAAGTGGTTACATTATTGGATATACCTACTCCTTAATACCAATGGTTAAATAGCAAATTATGTACCATACATACATACATACAGTATGCTTAGTGAAAATGTTTAGTTGTTCTTGAACCAAACATGGAGGAAAACAAGCAATCCAAGAGACTTTGATGATGGAATAATTGGTGCCAAGAACAGTGGTTGCAAGTAGGGCTGGTAATGATTAAAAATTTCCTGTTCGATTAATCGAAAAGTCTTTTAAATCGATTAATTTCGATTAATTATAACACACATACACCTCCAACTACATTGGCCTATACACATACAGCACAGCTTGACGTCACCGGATCTCCGACGGAAGACCCGGAAGCCGGCGGAGAGGTGAGTACGGAGCCAAAGAACTTTGATCGATCAAAATAATTTTGATCGATCAAAAAAATTAACGATTAAATCGAGGGATTAATCGTTAATTTCCGCAGCCCTAGTTGCAAGGTTTCAAAAACTTCTCTCCAGGTATTTCTTACATTACAGTCTCTGGAGTTTACAGAGAACGGTGAGAAAGAACATCCAGTGAGCAACATTCTGTGGGCAAAAGCAACTTGTTAATGAGAGAGGTCAGAGGAGAATGGCCAGACTTAAGGTGCCCATACACCTTACAATTATCTGCAGATTTTCTGTGGTCAGATGGAAAAAGTGCAACAGATTGGCCCAGGTGGAGATTACTCCATCCACACAGTTTAGCATAGATGGAGGAATCTGTTGCACCTTTTCTATCTGACCACAGAAAATCTGCAGATAATTGTAAGGTGTATGGTCAGCTTTACTGAAGCTGACAGGAAGTCCACAACTGCTTCAATAACTACCCTTTACAACAGTGGTGTGCAAAAGGGTATCAATGAACGCACAACACATGAAACCCAGAAGATGGGTTGCAGCAGCAGGCCACACTACACGCAGTTAAAATTAGGAAAAGAACGCTAGGATCAACAAAATAGCATTACCAATTCTTAGGAGAACATTGCCTGCTCAAAATCCAGCCCCTCCCCTGTCACAGCAGAGAGCCGTGACAGGATCGAGAGGTGAGGGAACCCGGTATGTGTTCCCTCACCTCTCGATCTACTTAGCCGACCTGTGACAGTCTCATTGTCACAGGTCGGCTAGAACTATGACGTGAGTGAAAAGCACTCACCTCATAGTTCTCCTTTAAAGTGCAACTGAAGCCAAAACATTTATTTTTAAGACAGTGTGTATTAGAGTAGTAGAGTAGATTAGACCCCTGTCAGGTTTTTATTGCTGTCTGTGTCCCCGTTAGGGAGATTCACCTCCCCTTTATTTGTTCTGTAGACCATTATCACTGAAAAAAGAATCCCAAGTTTTGGGTCGACATCATGAATTCATTTATGGGCTCTAGAAAGGTACACATAATGTAACCGCTGAGTATGTAACATAGAAACCAGTCACTTCTGGATCACCAAGCACCACTGTTATGGGAAGAGAATAATAGTCATTTGATGCAGAGCACTGTCATACCTTTATCTTTCTTCAGAAACTCCAACAAGGTTCTGATGGCAGCCACAGCAGTGGCAACATCGGGGTCTTCATGCAGCTGACATTTAAAATACTCAATCACTTCTGTAAGGAGTAAACAAAAAAAATTATAAGAATTAATAAATGTGTACAAAAATATAATTACGTCACGTTTTCTTATTTTTAAGTTTAGTTTCACTTTAACACTTGTGCTAGATTACTTGCACATATTCAGGAGAGATGGAAGATTTAACATTTACAAATGGAGGTCACTGCACCACGGCACAGTGTAAAGTGTTGCGGAGTGGAGAGTAAAATGTAGTGTAGACTTGGGGGGCGGACTTATAAAGGGTTCGTACAGCATATAGCTGAGTGAATGCCATTCACAGGGCACTACCGCCACTAGAAGGAAATCCCTATCTTCCTCGGCACCATCTAGTGGCAGTAATGCTGAGTAAATGTCATTCACCCAGCTATACAATTGCCAACCCCTTTATAAATCTACCCCAAAGTCTACACTCCTAGTGAACAATGAAGGTGCCGCGGCTCACCGCCACATGGTAAAACGCTGCATTTTAGCGTGCAGCTATTGTGAACAAGCCCTCAATGTCCATCTTCCTGATGACCTGGTTTGTTTTGTGTATTAATAATATACCTAAATAAAACATATTAAAAAAATAAGTATTCCTTACTTCCTTCACATGGGGCACCTGCTGTTTTCAGATTGAAACATGCCTGTCACGTGGCTGTAACGATCCTTATGCTTGTGAATTGAGCCCTTATGTCATGCATCAGTCTGATGTCATAACACAATAATAGAAGGACTCTGGCAGGTCTGGTAACAATGTGAGGTCCCCCAGAACACTCCGCTTACCGTTCTCGTTCATGTCTGGTACCCCCGGAGGAGGGGGGGAGGGATGGAGAGACGGGAGGAGACCGCAGGCAACACAGCTGTGTCACTGGACCAGATACACGCAGCCCAGCAGCGAAAGAGTAAACAGCAGCATGGCTCCCCCGCTTCCGCCTGTCGGCTCATGACGTCATCAGTGAGGGACGGAAGTATGCCATTCTCATTCTTGGGCAGTGGTGGCTTATTATGGCTTCAGGTGAGATTCATCATCAGTTTGTGTCCCTGGTAATAACATGGCAGGCCCGGGTGGCATATACACAGGTGGGGGAGGGAGGCTCTATTGTATGGACAATACACGCTGACAGTGAGGAACAGCAGCAGATCTCTGTGGGTAGTCATGGAGGAGCTGGTGACTGAGTGCCATCATCTGGCATGCTGGCCATACATAAGACAATTTTCTCACCATGTGCAGCTTGCTTTCGGTCAAGCCAAACTGCATATAGCAGTTTCCATTGAACCTTCGAAACACTATGTAGATGTATTTCTAATAAAAGAAATGTGAGAGATTCCTCCATCTATGCTGAACAGCGTGTGGAAGAATCCCCCTCCCCGCTGAGCTCTTGTATCCCCTGCTGCTGTCAAAATACCCAAACAGTGACTGCAGCCAATCAGCCCGAGCACTGAAATCATACAGATTCCTCCATCCACGCTAAACAATGTGGATAAAGGAATCTCTCCCACCGGCCTATTGTATCCTGACGGCTGCTGCTGTTAGAATACCTGAACAGTAGCCCAGATAGCAAGCAATTGAGCTGCACGTTTGAAAATGACTTGCTAAACTATTGCAGACTTGCCAAGCTTCACAATTTTGTTGCACAATTACAGCAAGTCTGCATTGCAAATCTCCAGATCGATCTGCTTTGCAAAAGTGCTGTAAACTTGCAGGACTCTTGCTGTAGCCTTGCCAAGCAAATTTGCTACAAATTCCAAAATAATTCTAGAATTTGCGCTGCAAGTGTTGTGCAAGTCTACAACTTGCCAGGAATGTGTGCAGCAAGTTAACAAGAATTACAATGTAACCCTCCCACAGGTTTGTGGCAAGTTATCCTTGCTATCTGGGAGGCTGTAGGGCAGCCAATTTTTGGCCCTGCTCCTTTAACAAAAGTCAGTTTAGTAATCCACTTTTGGTGAGCCCGTGGTGCCAAACACTGTAAATTACAATTTTGCAGTATTTAAAGCACATCGGCAGGTTTTAAAAATTAGGAATGCACCGATACCATTTTTCAAGACCAAGTACAAGTACTGTTCCTCAAGTACTCACAGATATCAATTACCGATACTGTACGTTTATTTTAGTGTCATGTGACAGTTTTTCTAAAACAATACGGAATAATGATTTTAGGAGAGTGGTGAGGTGTCAGGGCCCAGTCACAGCGGCAACTTCTGCGACCCTGGTAGTTCTGCCACTGTCTCCCAAGCTGTAGAGGGACTACAAATCCCAGCCATACATTATACAGCAATGCAGAATAATATGAAGGTTACATACTCAGTGTTGCTCACCAGGGCTATGTGGCAGCTCAGCAGGCTTTGCGGGGTCTGAACAGTGTTGTGCCTCAGGAGGATGTGTGGGGTCTCCCCAGGGCTGTGTAGGGACTCCCCAAGACTGCGTTCGTGTCTCCCCAGTGCTGTGCCATCTCTCACCAGGGTTTTACGGGCGGGTGCGGGCCTATCCAGCACTGTGCCTATCTCTGCGGGTAGCAGGAAGGAGAAGATGTGCCACCGCAAGGTCTCCAGCAATTTTTAAACAGGTGCGGCTGCCTGAGGTCCTGCACTTTTTGGGGACCTCAGGCAGCCGCACCTGTTTAAAAATGTAAAGGGCCAGTGTCGGCACCAATACTGATCCTAGTATCAGTGCATCCCTATTAAAAATAGAATTCCCTGCATTAAAAATACAAGCTCTGACTGCAAAATTCACGCTATTTCTGGTGCTATCCCCCACAGTTCAGCGCTGTTCAATCCAGTGTAGGAACCCTTGCAGGCTACATGATGCCCAGCATCATTCAGCCCCCTTCCTGTGAGCTCAGAGTGTCAAGGACTCCCTTCCTGGGCTCACAGGAGAATGCTGCAAAGAATAAAACCATTGCATGGCACTGGTCTCTCAGAATATGCTCACTTGAAGACAGGGAAGGACCTGTGTCATTTCATGATCAGAGTGAAGACTTCAAGAAACAAATTCTATATATAAACTGAAAAAAGGGGGGGGGGGGGGGTTAATTCAACTCCTGAAGACCTTTTACTGGTTTTATACTCTAACACAATAAATTATATTTATTTTTTGGAGGAAAAATATGACTTTCATTTCGTATCACAAATTTATGTTGATATTTTATGAAAAACTAAGAACATTTCCAAAAAGAGCCATTTTTTTTATTACTTTCAGTTTGCCAACCGTGATGTCTCTTACCCAGATTGAACTCTATGGCGTTTATTTATAAACAATTCGCAGAGCCATTTGCCCTGCAAATATCTGTGAAGGTTTGCGAATAGAGGCAAAAAGAAATGTTCTTAGTATATTTTCTTTACAAGTCGAATGTAATTTTAAATGTATTAATGTAATACTGCATTATGGCCACTAGATGGAGCCGAGGAGCAGAAAAAATAAGTATTTATTTCCTATGCTCCTCAACTCCATCTAGTGAAGATTACATTACATTTAACCTCATTACATTAGACCTAAAAAGAAAAATATGCTCAGAATGTTCTTCCTCATTCTGTTAAATACTAAAGGGTTTTGGCTGGAGTTTGGCTTTAAAAAGGAATTAATTGTGCTACAAAGTGAATTATATCTGTCTTTACTGCATATTTGTAAATACCTAACCATTGCTTCCATTGTTTTCTAGATGATGACGTTAATCTTTTAGTTACTGTGGTGGATGTGAACCCAATATGGTGGGGGAAGCAAGCACTCAATCAATCAGCTGTATGTATATAGGCACAAGAAGTCCTGAAATATAACCTGAGAATATTCTCAACCGACATTGACATCTCTGATACTCTTTCCTTGTTTAGGTAACACTTCCAAAATGCATGGATGCGGTTATGGTGATGGGCAATTCCCATTTGTTTATGGGACGTAGCAACAAGCTTGCTGTGATCGCCAGTCATTTACAAGAAAGGTATGGGAGTCTCAGTTTATCCCAAGCAATCAGATTTTACTGGTTTTCGATTTAGAGATATTAAAATAATGAAGGGTTATTAAAACACATTGTTAATATAGAATACTGCAGTTAATTATTTTAATTAAAGTAGAAGGAAACCATGTTTGAAACGTTTCCTCCCCACTGCTCATATGCATGCTGTTTGTAAGAAATCTCAATGGAAATACCTTTCTTTTTTTTTTTTGGGACCGACAATGCTCCAGCTCCTCTTTGTAAATGATTGCCTCAACAACGGGGCTGATTTACACAGAGCTGTGATGTCACCTGCCAGCTTTACCGGGGAGAGAGTTCCTTCCCAGCAGCTGCTCATTGATACAGGGGAGCCAGAAGATTTTTAAAAAGGTAGTTACATTAAGATTATATGAGCTGGGAAGGGAGGTGTGTGTCAACATTTTAAACATGGATTTTTTTAGCCTGTCCTACTTTAAAGTGTAGTTCCACTTTTGAAGTCAAATTTCAGAAAACCCCGCTATATGTTTATGTTCACATTCACACAGCATACCTGAAAATCATTTTTCTAAATATATTATTACCTTTTAGATATTTTTCGGTGAAGGCCTTTGTTCAGATTCCAAGCTAGTCTAAGCAGTCTGAAAGGCAAAGTAGAGGGACAAACTAGAGCTGCAGCTAACGATTATTTTCAAAATCGATTAGTTAGCCGATTATTAAGTTCGATTAATCGGTTAATCGGGTATTGCGCTGTATAATGTATTATTGCTGGGACTTGTAGTCCTCTATACAGCGCAATGCAGAATATCACCAGCTATAGAGGAGTACAACAAATCCCAGCAATACATTATACATACAGTGTATAATGCATTGCTGGTATTTGTATTCCTATGTATAATGTACAGTACAATGTACCATCAGCTATAGAGAAATACAAATCCCAGCAATACATTATAGAGCACCATGTGTGGGAAAGTGCAGGCTTACCTGACCAGTCTTCCAGCAACTTGCTTCTGAGATTGGACCTGTCTATCAGCTGCTGCCATCCCCCCACCCCTGCTCCTCCTTACTACATCTCCCCGCGTGCCTTGCCGATCGTGGATGGGCAGGAAATGTGAAGCGGGGAGGAGGGGCGGCGTATGGAGCGGGGATGCGAGCGGGTCTAGCAGCGGCGAGCGTGAGGTGGGGAGGAGGTGCGGCGCACAGCGTGTGGAGCTGTGAACAGGGCTAACTGATGGGAAGCCGATTAATCGATTATTGAAAAAGTTGACAACTTTTTCAATAATCGATTATGTCGATTAGTTGTTGCAGCCCTAGGACAAACCGAGGGACAGACTGAGCTTCCTCTCATTAACATAGAATGCTTCTAGGGCATTAACCTTTTGTTGACACAGACAGTGTTCAAATCTAGTTTACAACTGATAATGAGATCTGCCAGCACAGTACAGACAGGGTTCACTAGAGTAAACGGAACTTCCCACAGCTTCCTGCTTAACATTACATAGGGGGGAAGCTAGTTAGGAGTTTAAGAAAGTAATAAGCACTTAATGTAATTACCATTTTAAGATTTTTTATGTTATACTTTGTGAATGGGAACATATTACTAATATAAAATAGGTGTTATCCCAATTTGGCTGCAAAAGTGGAAATACACTTTAAGCAAATCTGTCACTTTGCCTATTCTCTTGGCAAGACACACTCTTCTGCAGAGACATGCCTACACTCCTCTGCTGCTAAATTCGACTGCGGAGGTCCTTTGGGATACTTGCAGAAACATGGGAATGTGATTTTCTCCCGTTTCGCTCCATGGTGCAGTGCTTGGCGTTTCGCTAGGGTTGATTACTAAAACGGTCTAAATGCTCTGCTGCAGATTCCATGCCTGTATACCCCCATGTACAGTTGCTGGCTCCCCATCCTCTGTGTAATGTGCAATCATTGTAGAGAAAAGGGAAGCTGCACTTTAATATAAAAGCAGATATGAATATTTATTAATCCATATGTTACAAGTGGAAAAGTCACCTGAACCTCCACTGTCACATAGAGAAAGGTATTAGACCTTTATAAGCTCAAAGACAGAAAAAGACATGAAAACCTCAGGCTTAGGAAGTGTAGCAGTGTTATTTATATTGTATTTCTTCTTGTTTGTAGCCGCCTCCTTTTTCCAGGCAAACAGTGGAAGAGTGGAGACTTGTCTGGGGAGTCCTCCATTTGGGAATCAAATGTATCCGGAAGTAAGGATGGCAAATATGAATTGTTGACAGCAGCCAATGACATGATTGCTGAAGATATCAAAGATCTTATGACCAAAAGTAAGAAGTTCAGAAAGAAAATATGGCATATGTGTAATCTTAAAATATTGCATTTTGGTTCAGGGTTAGGTTCAGCTTTTAATAACTGTTAGTTCATCAAGATGAAAACCTCTATTTCTATACCCTTTATTGACACTATGTAATGTATTGTTTTTCATGGTGTTCTTTGGCTTTTAAAGGAGAACTATGAGGTGAGTGCTTTTCACTCACCTCATAGTACTAGCCGACCTCTGACAATGAGACTGTCACAGGTCGGCTCAGTAGATCGGGAGGTGAGCGAACACATACCGGCGTTCGCTCACCCTCTCGATCCTATCACAGCTATCTGCCGCGACAGGGGAGGGGCTGGATTCCCCCCCCCCCGCTTCGATCCGCCAGCGCTGACTGGCGGATCGGACAGGGGAGGGGGCAGGTACAGCTGGCTCTGCCTCTAGATAGGCAGAGCCAGCTGTCACTCACGCAGCTGGGCGGATCCAGACATAATTATCGGGATCTGCTTCAGCTGCGGCGTCTCAGTATACCGCGAGCAGTAGCTGAGCTTATACTGAGCCTAGGTTGACGGGAGGACGCTAATTTGTGTCCTCCCGTTACCCTAAGGAGAACTATGGGGAAAAGCCTTAACCCCATAGTTCTCCTTTGAAGCATACATAGTAACCATAATCATCCGTATGGTTGCTTGTGTTTTGCTTTTAATACATTTTTATTAACCTTAAGAAATGGTGTGAAGATTAGAAAAGGGAGCCATATCAAAAATGAACAGCAATCAGATCATGTTGTTATGATAGCAAGCTATGTGGTGAGGGGTTTACATAGACTACATAGTCAATAGACTTACCAGACCCCGTGTCAGTAACATGCAGTGTGTTAAGGATGCCCCTTCATTTATATGAGATGTAAATGCTCCAAAATGGACAACAAAAATGCACTTTTTTTCCAGTACAGCACACTCGTGGTATGTCACCACATATTGAGTTGCACTGCATCACAAGTGCATTGCCTTAGCGTGTTGGGGTGCCATTGATCATAATTGGCACTGCAGCAAAGTACAGCATGTGAGGTGCAACACATAGGTGTGAAGGGGCCCTAAAAGTTTGCTGCAGGTCCCTTTGATACATTGTCCCTTCAATTGATGTATTTACCCATGGTGAAGTTTAAATAATCAATATGAGATAGCAATAACACACTTAAAAAAAACTTTTTTGTCCTGGAGCTTCAAATAATTTGTGAGGGCAACAGGGCAACTTATCCACAGGCTTCATTCTAACCTTTGTCTTAAATATGACTCCTCTTCACAGGCACTGAAGTGAAAGGACAGCGGACAGATACTATGCTGGCGGGATCTTTAGCAAAAGCCCTTTGCTGTATCCTTTTCCGATGGCTACAAGCGTCAGTATTAGTTAGTTATCCTCTTTTTATACGTGGGGGGCGCGCCAACCCCTCCCACAAATCCCGGCTAACAAGTTAGCCATCCCACTTAACTGGACTTGTGTAATGTTGAAAAGGTTTTGCTGGTCATCAATTAGCTTCTTTGGTTCTAATGAGTGTCAGAAACCTCAGCATTTATTGCCACAGAGGTAAATCAGGTTACCTTAAAGGAGAATTATGGTGAGAGTGAAATACATTCATCCCCATAAATAGAGCCGACCTGTGACACTGAAGCCGTCGCAGGTTGACTCTATAGATTGAGAACCAAGCGATCATATACTGCTGATCGCTGAGTTCCCAATTTTTCTCTCTGCGGAGAGTGGTGACTGTCCCTGCAGGGATTCCCCCCTCCCCCACAACTAAGGCCCAGTTTGGGGGCTGAAACATGCATGCATTTGTTTGACTGCTGCTTTTATGCCTTTTTGCAAATAAAGTATTGAATGAATGGATCCCCCTATGAATGCCAGTTTTTGCCTATTTTCCCCTCCCCTCTCCATTCCTCTAGCGTTCATTGGAGGGATGGACAGGGGAGGGGTTGGTCAATCAAGTGACGGGGTGGATCCTGACAATATTGTTGGGATCTTTCCCAGCCGCATTGCTTTCAGCTTGCCCTCCTGTGACTCTAAAGAGAACTATAGCCAAAAAAGGTTGGGCCATTGTTCTCTTTTTTAAAGCTGGTAACCCTAAAGCTGAACTCCGAGCATAAAAACATTTAATCCAAATATATTCCTCAAACATCGCAAAGGATATAGTACAAAGCCACTTTGTGTGCAACCCCTGTTATTACCTTGTAAATGTAGTGGCAACATTACCACTGTGCTGCACATAGCTTGCACAGCCTTGTACAGTATTATGACATTCCCATACAAGTCTATAGGAATGCTTAACCTGCTTGATGTTGGTGAAAGGCAGGTCAGAAGGAGGTAAACTGCAGGTCAAATCCTGACAATAAATTGTGAATGATCTCGGAAGCATCTCTAACCGATGTAAAATCGATCCCATCCACACAAGTCCCCTCCATCTAATATATGTATTATCCTATATCCTTCCACCTAATATATGTATTAATATATTTGTTACCTTTTCCTGATCAATAATGTCCAGACATTAACCGAATAAATAAAGAAGCCAAAGGTACGTATTTAGAAATCTGTTTTTTGTTTTTTTTAAGCATGTAGTTTTTTATTCAGATTTGTCATAAAAAAAAAAAAATACAGAACAAAAGACATATCATAGTACAATCTGCATCCTGACTTGTATACTTGCAGTTCTGTGACATACAACTGAAGATGACATGCGATACAGTAGTACATTGATACAGTGCTAACTATATAGAAATGTATTGCCTTCAGTAATAATGCAGAGGTATAAGATATAACAGTCTTAATTCAAGGCCAACAAACAAACAAAAACTAGAACAAGAACAAGACTCGCAATCACCTTTAGATTTAGCAGATTAGTTCATACCCTTTGGGGGAAGGGACCAGCAGGAACATAGGGAATCCCTACATAATCACATATAGTGGCAGGGCAGCAGGAAGAACTCTACCTGCAGCTTCAGACATGAATTGACATTGACATTGTAGGGAGTCGTTAAAGGACGTCAAGGGCACCCAACGATCTATTTAATTTGGATGTGTGGTACCAAACCGTATCCTTAAACAAGGATACCATCTCTTTCAATTGAGGCGCTTGCAAGGTCAACACCATAAATGGGGTCCAGGTGTCGAAGAATTTCTCTGTGTATGTGCAATTGTATTGGGCATCTAGTTTATCCAGCGACATCAGTCTATTTAGTAGGTCTGTAAGTTGTTGCAAGGAAGGTGGAGCAGGTATTAGCCAATTTTGTTAGAATGGCCTTTTTCGCCGCTAATATACACAGGTGTTCCCACCTGGTGAGCCGTTTGGACCGTGGAACGCACGCAGGGCCTGGTGTGTGAAAAAGGCATAGAAGTGGTTCCCTTTGCCTATGGATACCCGAAAGGTTAGCCATATAGGAAAGTATGTGCGACCAGAACCTTAATATGTGTGGGCATAACCAGATCAAATGTTCCAGATTCGGGCATGGGGCGTGACATTTAGGACAATATGTCTGCCATTCAGGAGGGGTGGCCCTGTATTTTAAGTTAAAGGCGTAGTAAGCTCTGTGGACAATTTTGAATTGAAGTTCCCTCCAATTTTCTAGAAATCTGTTTTAAGTTAATATAAGGTTGCCATGACTGCTCAGTGCACAGTCTAATATCTGTATTTGTCTATATTATGTGCAGTTGGACAAGAAGTCAAATCCAGGATACTGGTGAGACAATGGACTTGATCAAGCACGTCTGTCTATTACTGCATTCCAGAGCATCCTCTAACAGGGCAGTTTTCTTTTGGCTGTTAATTTATTGTAGGTTATTAAGGCAGCAGAAGACAGTGCACTACAATATATGAACTTTATGAATGTCATATTTGCTGCCCAGAAACAGGTAATTCTACTAATTGATTGTTAGTCTCTAATTGTTTGGATAAAGCTGATTGTACTAAAGCCTTCCTCCTTTTCCTCTAGAACATCCTTATTGACGCTTGTGTACTGGACACAGACTCGGGACTCTTGCAGCAGGTAAGGGAGTCATTCAATCATGTCCTTATTTATGTGCTTATAGCAGGCTACAGTTACGGCTTTTTAGAGCAGGCAGCATGGGCTGAATCTTTTGACTATACTAGCGACATGACTAAATTGTTTCACATGTCTGTTGTCCTGTGCGGCCAAAATCTGTTGTAGTGGAGCAGCACTATTCCCCAGTTCTGAAATCAGACGGCATTTTATCAGTCTGCCAATTGCCTGGCCCTTTGCAACTTCTTGTTCAAGCACAAGGACATTGTGACGTTTCATATTGTTCATCGACCCCCCAAACAGTTATGTTTAATAAATACTACTTTAAAAAACAAGTGCTATGAATAATACAAATACACTTCCTTTTGGCATCAGCAACTGCTATTATGGTTGTTACAATGCCACATTTTTTTTAGTAATGCACAGCTATCACTTCTTTGCCCCCTTCCTATTGCTATAGTGCTCTCCAAAGAAGTTTAAGTGGGGGAACACATTTATTATGAGAAGTGAATAATACCATCAAATCCTTGAGGAAAATCTGCTGCCCTCTGCCAGAAAGTGGTCAATGGGAAGAAGGTTTACCTTCCAACATGACAATGACCCCAAGCACACAGCAAAAATGACCACACAGTGGTTGAAGGAGAAAAAGGCGAATGTCCTTGCATGGCCTAGTCAGAGCCCAGACTTAAACCCCATTGAAAATCTGTGGAATGACTTGACGACTGCAGTCCACAAATGGTCAACATCAAATTTAACTGAACTTGAGCAGTTCTGCAAAGAAGAGTGAGCAAATATTGCAAAGTCTAGATGTGCAAAGTTAGAAGAGACATATCCCAACAGACTAAAAGCTGTAATTAAAGCAAGAGGTGGTTCAACAAAATACTGACACAAGAGGGTGATCCTTTCTCCAACTTTTTTTTTTTTTCTGACATATTGGTGTTATATCTTTCACTTGGATGTTATAAGTAAATACAACTGGATAAAACAAAAACTATCTGTCTTCATTTCAGACTGCAAAGCAAGAAAATGTGATTATTTTATAGGGGGGCAATTCTTTTCTATACCCACTGTACATATACTCTTCCCAGAAGTGGAAGGTCAGAGACACAAAACTCAAGGCTGCTCTGGCTCCCAACCCTGTGTATCACTGTCTTGCCACTAGCCACCCACATTTACAACAAGGGACTGGCATGAAGCTCTACAGAGACCTTAAAAGATAAATTGACCCAAATCAGCTTTTCATAATTAATACACCACCTATTGACCTGCATAACTTTACCTGACCCACTTTTGACCGCCAGATATTTTATTGACCCTTGGGGGACAACGCTGTAATTTCTGCAGTCATATCTTTCGTGGATAGTGATTTAATGGGAGATAATCGCATGTTGTTCTAATAGCCCTGAACCAAACCTGCAGTGACCAAAATGTCTCATTACAGCTATTACTAGGTAACTGGTTCAGTGCTTACAGCTAAGGAGATACAGTGAGGGTAATTTATCAAAACTAGAGCAGACAAAACCTGGAGCAGATATGCATGGCAACCAATCAGCTTCTCCCTTTCATTTTCAAATCTTAACTGAACAAACTGAAGAGAGAAGCTGATTGGTTGCCACAGGCAACTGCTCCAGATTTTGTCTACTCCAGTTTGGATAAATCCCCCTCATTGTCTCCATAGGAATTAGAAAAATATTTCATACAGCCCAATTTGAATGAGAAATTGTAAATGTTTGTATATTGTTTTATATGTTCACAGGCTTGTGACATAACAGGAGGAATATATCTGAAGATACCTCAAGTTAACTCACTGTTGCAGTACTTGTTGGTAAGATGTGTATATATCTATATATACCATTACCATTGTTTTTAACTGTTTGTTGCAGCTAGCAAATTATGTATGTTTACCTCAGATCTGTATTTCATATGTTTGCTGTTCTTTACACAAACATTGTATTCTCTTTGGAACAGTGGGTTTTCCTTCCAGATCCAGATCAAAGGACTCAGCTGAACCTACCCCCTCCGGTTCATGTGGATTACCGTGCAGCATGCTTCTGCCATAGGAACCTGATTGAAATTGGCTATGTTTGTTCTGTTTGTTTATCCAGTAAGTATGGCTCATCAAAATCCAACATAGATATTAACACACATAATTGTTGATACTTTATTGCTTATGCTCATTTTAATGTACTCTGTGAGCAGACATGATTTTCAAAAAAAAGGTTTACAGTAAGTCCATTTGTTTTTTAAATAACGTGGATTTTTTGGAGTGTTCTACATACTTTTTCTCTTTAATTATTATGGCAGGACTAAAAAAAATAAAAAATAGTCTGATAAAATGGAAATATTAGATATTAATATTATGTTTTTTTAATGCTTGCTCCGTCACTGATGTTTAGAGACTATAGCAGGCGAGTGCAGCTTCACCTATAGCAGCTACTGTTCCCTTAAGGCAAGTAGCGAATAGCAAAGACAGGAGTCCAGAGGGTGGCGTATGCCAGAGGCAGAGAGGGTCGAGGCAGTCAGTAAGCATATTCCGGGGACAGACCTGAGAACCTGTAGCAGACTAGAGAGTATTGCAGGGATAGACTAATGCCAGGGTAGACAGCAGACTAGAGAGTATTCCAGGAACAGGCTAAGGTTAGGGCAGGCAGCAGACTAGAGAGTATTGCAGGGATAGACTAATGCCAGGGTAGACAGCAGACTAGAGAGTATTCCAGGAACAGGCTAAGGTTAGGGCAGGCAGCAGACTAGAGAGTATTGCAGGGATAGACTAATGCCCCGGTACGCAGCAGACTAGAGAGTATTGCAGGGATAGACCAATGCCAGGGTACGCAGCAGACTAGGGACTATTCCAAGAACAGGCTAAGGTTAGGGCAGGCAGCAGACTAGAGAGTATTGCAGGGATAGACTAATGCCAGGGTACGCAGCAGACTAGGGACTATTCCAAGAACAGGCTAAGGTTAGGGCAGGCAGCAGACTAGAGAGTATTGCAGGGATAGACTAATGCCAGGGTACGCAGCAGACTAGGGACTATTCCAGAAACCGGCTAAGGTCAGAATAGGTAGCAAACTAAAGAGTATTCCAGGAACAAGTGCAGGGCATGCAGCAGACTAGGGAATATTTCAGGGACAGGCTGTTGTGATGGCAAGTAGCAGGCAAGAGAGCATTATTAGGCCAGGATTAGAATCAGGTATGTTGCTTTGCACCCACAATCCGTTTTTCCTTCTTAAGGTGCCCATACACTGCACGATTCTCGTACGAGAATTGCGGGAAATCCCACGATCGTACGAGAATCGTGCAGTGGGAATGAAGACGTGCAACCGTTTCTACTGTACGGTCGCACGTCTTTAAGGAGAACGCTAGAAAACAAGCCGAAAATCGTACGATTTTCGGCTGATTTGAATGATGCTCGGGAGACAAATGCCGAACGGGCCGGTGTGCGCACGCACACACTGCCCGTTCAGCATTGCGGTCATTGCAAGTACGATCTGCCTGTCCAAGATGGGCAGATCGTACGTTTTTTAAATTACTTTACAACCATCGCAAGACTAAGGTCTTGCGATGGTTGTAAAGTGTATGCCACCTTTATCCAGATTTCAGAACTGTACTCTGTTCACTGCTTCTCTACAACATACTGTTAAACATATGGATGCCGGTAGATAAAGTTTTCAGACATGTCTTAAAGTGTACTGTTGAACATTTTTCAGTGCCCACTGTCTTTATTGTTTCTTTTTAGTATTCTGCAACTTCAGTCCCATCTGTACTACTTGCGAGTGAGTATTATGTGCTTTAGCTCTTCTCATTTATGATGCATATTTTAATAATGTCATCACATAACAATTTTTGATCTCTTACACTAAACCTCTCTCCTCTAAATAGGACGGCATTTAAGATCTCTTTACCTCCAGTCATGAAGGCAAAAAAGAAGAAATTAAAATCTATGTTTTAGAGGCAGGACTTGTTTCTGCACAGACGACCAGCGAGGTTTACATGGACTCCTCAGTGATCATAAATAATTACCACCATATCATAAATTTGGAGAGAAGCATCAGACAGCTAACAAGCTTTCATTCTGTTGCCAGAAGGACAACATGGCAACTGAAACTCAACAATCAGAGGAGCACATGCAAGGTGTGATATTTCTGCACCACCGGCAAAAAAAATATTTGTGCCTCAAGTGTAAATAGCAACTATCCACAATCAGTCTTTCACCATTTTATCTGCATTAGAATATTACAGATAGAACTTGTTTGGCTGCTATGGGCAGCACAGACCATTTTTAAATGGATGACATCCAATGTAATGATGCTTCCCTAGAGACTGACAACACTTAACCATAGCTAGCAGAAATGACTGCTGTTTGTATATGAAAATACTGAACCAATAGAAAAATATTACTCTTGATACTTTTATTTGCTGCAGCTATTTATATGTATATGTTTTGTAAAAAATAAAAACAGATCTAAAGTATGAGTCTATTAATTCATTGAGTGATTTTTAATGAAAATGTTTTGCTTTTGACTATACTCCGATCAGCCATAACATTATAACGACTGAGAGATGAAGTGAATGACATTGATTATCTCGTTACAATGGCACCTGGAAGTGGGTGGGATATATGAGGCAGCAAGTTAGCATTTTGTCCTTGAAGTTGATGTTTTGAAAGCAGAAGAATTGGACAAGTGTAAGGATTTGAGCAACTTTGAGAAGGGCCAAACTGTGATGGCTAGATGGGTCAGAACAACTCCAAAACTGCAGCTCTCATGGGATGTTCCAGGTCTGCAGTGGTCAAGACCTACTAAAAGTGGTCCAAGGAAGGAAACCAGTGAACCGGTGACAGGGTTATGGGCGGCCAAGACTCATTGATGCACATGGGAAGCAAAGGCTGGCCTGTGTAGTCTGATCCAATAGAAGAGCTACTGTAGCTCAAATGGCTTGGTGCCGGATACCACAGCATCCCTTCAGAGGTACAGTGGAGTCCATGCCTCGACGGGTCAGGGCTGTTTTGGCAGCAAAAGAGGGACCTACTCCATATTAGGCATGTGGTGATTATGTTATAGCTGATTGGTGTATTTGTATATGTATTTTTTTGAGGGATGTCATGTAGTGAACACTACAAAATTGGTTATTCAAATGTTCCTAAATAAATGTTTAAAGCGTGTCTAAATCCCTCTCTAGAGGTAGAGCCAGCTGTGCTCGCCCCCTCCCCATTTGACCCTCCAATCAGCCCTGGGGGAAGGGGGATTCTCTGCGGGGAGCAGTAACTGACAACCACTGCTCTCTGCAGGGAGAAGATCGGGAACTGAGCTATCAGCGGTATGCAATCCATCAGTTCTCGATATATAGCGCTGGCGTGTGACAGCTGCAGTGTCACACATCGGCTCTAACTATGGGGATGAGTGCATTTCACTCTCCCTATAGTTCTCCTTTAAATCTGAATCAGACTTCATGTCATCTTCAACTTCATGTCAGTTAGGCTTTACATCTACTTTAACTTGATATTTTTTTCATTGTTGCTTTTTCTAAGTCTCCTTCAAACTGTCAGGTTGTTACCAACTGTGATTTCCATTGGTGAAGTTAAAGAGAAGTGAAGTTAGGGGTACCATTTTTTTTTCTAGAGATGCTACATACCTAGATTATTATTGCTGTCCAGTAGTGGGCAGACTCCCAGTAAACATAAGCAGCCCAATCTAACTAAAAATCAAGGGGCTCCGTCTAAGAATGATGTAGACTGTCTTTGCTGACCTCTACTTTTGGTTGTCATGCTGATGCATTGGCATCAATGCTGTCTGAGTCACTGACCTGGAACAAATATAAAGATAAGGAATTCTGACCTTTGCTGATACTCATTTACAGCATACATGTTTCAGGTCTGTCGCTTAAAAGTAGTCAGACCCAGCCAAGCAAGTAGAATTTCTAAAGGACATTTCCACCTATGGTAAGTGATTTTGAGTTTTTGATGGTAATGGTGAGGTGCAGGGGGGATGTACATGTGTGTGCACATTCTCAGGAGTTACAGGGCTGTTTTTCATACTTTATTTTATAGACTCTTTCCTGCAGCCCCTGCACCTCTACATTACCACAAAAAAACTCAAAACCACTTACTAAGGTGGAAATGTCCTTTAAAAGGAGGCAAGCAATCACAGCTCCTGCACCTTTCTTCTGACCGTATTATTTTAAAGTAGGCACAGGCAAACTCCAGCCCTCCAGCTGTGGTGAAACTACAAACCCCATCATGCATCTGCCTCTGGGGGTCGTAGCTGTCAGAGTCTTGCAATGCCTCATGGGACCTGTAGTTCCACAACAGCTGGAGGGCCAGAGTTTTGCCTACACCTGCTTTAAAGTGTATTTCCACTTTTGCAGTCAAATTTGAGAAATCCCCTCTGTATATTTGTGTTGGTAGTCATGCAGCATACTAAAAAATGTTTTACCTTTTAATTATGTTTGTGTAGCACACCATTGCAACCTTCGATCTGATTTTCCAAGTGACAGGAAACTCTTTCTGTCCTTATAGAAAGACTAAGGACAGACTGAGCTCCCTCTCATTAACATACAATGCTTCTAGATATTTAACCTTTTGTTGGGGCAGACATTTTTTAAATCTAGTTTACATCTGATAATGAGATCTGCCAGCACAGCACAGACAGGGTAAGTTAACATTAACCTGCCCAGCCCCCTTGCATTTCAAAGCAAAATTCAGTACAGAGAACAATGTTTCTTTCAGAATACAGCATGTATTGCGCAAGCAGCAGTAGAAAAAAAATAAGGTGATGCAATGTGAATGAGAAACATGTAACAAATATAAATTAGGTGTTAACACAATTTGGCTGCAAAAGTGGAAATACACTTTAAAGTACATGTCCAGGCATTATCCAAATTTACCCCAAACATCTATCTCCGCCTTTAGATCATGTCCCACCATTACTTTAACTTTGTTTTTGTAGTAATAAACAGCTTTTTTCACTTTCTGTGACATCATCAGGTTTGTAAAATTCCTGTGGGGGCAGCTTCTGGGAGTCGAATTCCTATTGATGCCCCCCCTTTCCTCCAGGACCAATTATCCCGTAAGCCCTTTCCCTACACATAGGGGTTCATTTATAATGCCACTAGAGCCCCTAGATGGCACTGACAAACATAAGAATTTGTATGCTTGTCAGTGCCATCTAGGGGAGCTAGTACCATGTAAATAGCATCCCTTTATAAATGAATCCCATAGTATGTAAGCAGACTCTTGGAAGTCATGGAAGCAGTATTACTGGAAAAGAAATGCATGTATAGAGGGACAGAGAAGGTTAACGATAGGTGGAGTATTGTAGTCCAGCAGTCAGGGATGATAATGATGGCTGAGATGTCAGTGCAGCAAAGGTGCTGTGTTGTGTATGATAACAATAATTGCTATTTTCACCCTAAGTTTATGATAAAAAAAATATTTAAAGGATCTACAGTTAGTCAACTAATGGATAATGAGAAATCGTTGACAGCGATTCTCATTATATATTATAATTGATTAAATTGATAAGTTGTTGCAGCTCTAGTGGACATAATCCTCTTTATAGACTAGCATGGGGACCGCTGAGCACGATACCTCCTGAAGACGTGAGTTCTGTGTATTCTCAAACTATTTTCTATTTGTATTACTCTACAGCTCTAAAATACACCGTTTACCACTCATCCCCATTCTATTATCACCAATATCCAACTATCCACAATATCAGTTACTCTTGCTTTATTGAAAACAAAAACAATTATTAACAGAGAAAAAAATACAATTGAACAAGCTTGCATTTCTGTTCTGCTTTGGTTTCTTTAGAAACATTGTCATACTGGACTTAATCTTCCAATCTAAATGATTACAATGGTAAATTCAGTCTAGAGGCTACAAACATGCAGACATGTCTTTCTCCATGGATAGATGATGCATTATAAAGCAGTCTTCTGAAGAGTAATAAATATCCCTCTGTTATATGAAGCATTGGTCCGCAGTCCGTCCAGTCTTTAGCTCTCTATTTGACTCTGTATGCTGCCCGGGAAATGGTTTTGCCAATGTTTTCTGATCGTAGAGCAGAGAAACATCTTGTGCTTTTATTTAGTAGTTTTGGGCTTTGTCCACGGTAGCATTTATCAGATGGCAACAAGGTGACAAAAAAATGCTGAGATTCCTAAAGAAAATAAAAAGTCAAATCAAAATATGACATCTTTTGAAATACCTTCTTTGTAAAAAAAAAAAATTTTTTTAAATTGACCTTATGTATTTAAAGCAGCGAAAAAGCAAGGTCCGCTTTTTAAATGTGTCCCCTGCTGAAACACTGAAAAATAACACCTGTAGTAGAAAACTTGACATAATATATTTACCTTTCCCTCAGCTTATGCCCATGAGGCCTAGGCAAGAGTGACATCATGCTCCTTCTGGCAAGACCTGGGGAATGTAAAGTAGCCAAAATCTCACTAAAGCTGGCCACACACCTATAGATTGTCTGCAGATTTTCTATGGTCATATGGAAAAACTGCCACAGATTCCTCCATCTAGGCTAAACTGTGTGGATGGAGGAATCTCCCACTGGGCCAAGCTTCCCTATCTTGCTAGTCGGCCCCACTGGCTCTCAAAATACCTGAACAATCTGATTGGATGCCGGCATTGTTCAGGTGTTTTGAGAGCCAGTGGGGCCGACTAGCAAGATACTGAAACTTGGCCCAGTGGGAGATTCCTCCATCAAC